AAATATTTATTCAGGTAAAGTACATACATACAAGGTGAAATACAAAAGTTGATGGATTCATAGATAGAGCTAGTACATACAATGCCTAAAACCACTATTACGCAAAGCGTTTCGGGCAGGACACCAAAAATAAATATCTCTGATATCCCCAATTAAACATAATCTGTGTAAACACTCTATGCAAATAAAGGGACCTGGTCTATGGAACTCGCTCCCTAACGAATTATCCAACTTTTAATTTATTTAAAAATAAAACCAAAAAGTATCTACCTAATTTCATCTTCATAATTTCCTACCGAGTGCCATAAACTCGCACTGTATCTAGTGCTACCTAGTCCCCCAATATATGTACTACCCAATACATATATTGGGGGATTTCATCCAATTTCACCATTGTAATCACTGCTAATCATCTTATATCATGTTTGTTATATTAAACGCATATTTTGCAACATTATACCTTGAAATAATCCCCAAATTATGCTACTATGTACCTGTTGATACCCTAAAATTTTACTTTAATGTACCTACTAATCTTTGTCAAATTATCTTACAAAGTACCTGTTAAAAAATTTTCAATATTGCTAGAAATTACCTACATAAAATGATCTGTTAGATTAAGGACCTGCCCGAAACGCTATGCGTGTTAGTGGCTTTACAAGAATGTATAAACATCAATGCTAAATACTCTCATAAACCCATTGTATCTTCTAGTATATATATATATATATATATATATATATATATATATATATATATATATATATATATATATATATATATATATATATATATATATATGTTGTTAAATATGATCGAAAAAGTAATATTAATAACTCTAACACGAATTTTCTCAATATTTCATATGTTTCTTTTTACTGTCGATGGTAATTGAAAATTCAGTTCTCCAAAATTCATTTTTATTTCTAGTCTGACGCGACACTTTAACGCGTTTCGTAATAACTTATTACATTTTCAAAGACTTGAAGTGGGTAGCCCACTTCAAGACTCCGTACCAATATAGAAGCATCAAGAGGAAGTATGGGCCAATAGGCCCTTTTCATTTACTTCCATTCTTCCCTCTCATTTATCCAATTAATACCCATTGTTCCGTGTTCTGTCTTGTGTTGGTCAAAAGTTTGTTCACCTCATCCAAAACTGTTTCAACATATCACCTCACCCAAATGCGAGTATATAAGACAAGCTGTTTAGCGTTAGAATAAGTAAAACTCTGTTAAGTGTTTTCAGGTTACAGTTGTGTGTGTGTGTAAACTAAAGTCTTTGAAAATGTAATAAATTATTACGAAACGCGTTCAAGCGTCGCGTCAGACTATAAATAAAAATGAATTTTGGAGAATTGATTTTTCAATTACCATCGACAGTAAAGAGAAACATAAGAAATATTGAGAAAATTCGTACGAATATATATGTATGTATATATATATATATATATATATATATATATATATATATATATATATATATATATATATATATATATATATATATATATATATATACATATATATATATAAGGGACATTGACCGTAAAAAAAATTTGACATGCTGCTCTGGGCCAACGTAGCACTGACCATTTACCACAATGACACTCAAAATAGTTTGCTAATTCCCGGGTACCTGTATATTGCGAGGTGAACAGAGACATTCGGTGTAAGGGCATGAGTCCAAGCGTCACGCCATGAGCTGGATTCGGAGGTAACAGCACCACTAGTGGTGGTAGTAGCAGTACTAGTGGTGGTAGCAGCAGCACTAGTGGTGGTAGCAGCAGCACTAGTGGTGGTAACAGCAGCACTAGTGGTGGTAGCAGCAGCACTAGTGGTGGTAGCAGCAGCACTAGTGGTGGTAGTAGTAGCACTAGTGGTGGTAACAGCAGTACTAGTGGTGGTAACAGCAGCACTAGTGGTGGTAGCAGCAGCACTAGTGGTGGTAACAGCAGCACTAGTGGTGGTAACAGCAGCACTAGTGGTGGTAACAGCAGCACTAGTGGTGGTAACAGCAGCACTAGTGGTGGTAACAGCAGCACTAGTGGTGGTAACAGAAGCACTAGTGGTGGTAACAGCAGCACTAGTGGTGGTAGCAGCAGCACTAGTGGTGGTAACAGCAGCACTAGTGGTGGTAACAGCAGCACTAGTGGTGGTAACAGCAGCACTAGTGGTAACAGCAGCACTAGTGGTGGTAACAGCAGTACTAGTGGTGGTAACAGCAGCACTAGTGGTGGTAACAGCAGCACTAGTGGTGGTAACAGCAGTACTAGTGGTGGTAACAGCAGTACTAGTGGTGGTAACAGCAGCACTAGTGGTGGTAGCAGTAGCACTAGTGGTGGTAACAGCAGTACTAGTGGTGGTAGCAGCAGCACTAGTGGTGGTAGCAGCAGCACTAGTGGTGGTAACAGTAGCACTAGTGGTGGTAACAGCAGTACTAGTGGTGGTAGCAGCAGCACTAGTGGTGGTAACAGCAGTACTAGTGGTGGTAACAGCAGTACTAGTGGTGGTAACAGCAGCACTAGTGGTGGTAGTAGTAGCACTAGTGGTGGTAGTAGCAGCACTAGTGGTGGTAACAGCAGCACTAGTGGTGGTAACAGCAGTACTAGTGGTGGTAACAGCAGTACTAGTGGTGGTAACAGCAGTACTAGTGGTGGTAACAGCAGCACTAGTGGTGGTAACAGTAGCACTAGTGGTGGTAACAGCAGTACTAGTGGTGGTAGCAGCAGTACTAGTGGTAATAGCAGCACTAGTGGTGGTAGTAGCAGCACTAGTGGTGGTAGCAGCAGCACTAGTGGTGGTAGTAGCAGCACTAGTGGTGGTAGTAGCAGCACTAGTGGTGGTAGTAGCAGCACTAGTGGTGGTAGTAGCAGCACTAGTGGTGGTAACAGCAGCACTAGTGGTGGTAACAGCAGCACTAGTGGTGGTAACAGCAGCACTAGTGGTGGTAGTAGTAGCACTAGTGGTGGTAGCAGCAGCACTAGTGGTGGTAACAGCAGCACTAGTGGTGGTAACAGCAGCACTAGTGGTGGTAACAGCAGCACTAGTGGTGGTAGCAGCAGCACTAGTGGTGGTAACAGCAGCACTAGTGGTGGTAACAGCAGCACTAGTGGTGGTAGTAGTAGCACTAGTGGTGGTAGTAGCAGCACTAGTGGTAACAGCAGCACTAGTGGTGGTAACAGCAGCACTAGTGGTGGTAGCAGCAGCACTAGTGGTGGTAACAGCAGCACTAGTGGTGGTAACAGCAGCACTAGTGGTGGTAGTAGTAGCACTAGTGGTGGTAGTAGCAGCACTAGTGGTGGTAACAGCAGCACTAGTGGTGGTAACAGCAGCACTAGTGGTGGTAACAGCAGCACTAGTGGTGGTAGCAGCAGCACTAGTGGTGGTAGCAGCAGCACTAGTGGTGGTAGCACCAATCACTTCAGCTGCTGAGTTAAATGAACGGCAGGAAAATGTATATTGCGTCAATATACTGTAGAAAAAGGTCACTTTGGCTTGGACGGCTTCCAGAATAATGTTCCGTGTGGTTGACTGCTGCGGTGAGTGGCGCCATACCGCGTCCAAAAGAGACACTACATTGTGTCTCTTGACACTGACCTCGAAGACAAGGCTAATTGTTTCTCCTGTGTAGAGTTGGGTTGTTCTCCAGGACCTCTCTGTCAGACCCAAGCAACTGTGAAATGTACCTGTCACCCCGATTACCATGGATGAGGGAAGTCCCTGCACCATACCTTTCAACTGTGAAAATCAGATCACAGGCACGCAATTGAAATCCTCACTGATGGTTGCGTGGTTGAAAGCTGGGATTGCTTGCAACACAAGCAGTGCTCTAGCAGAGAAAGGGGGACTTAACCCTCCTCTTGTCAACCGCTGACAACAAGGAAACAACATTTGTGAAGTGCGTTCTTGTAGTAGCACATTATACAGTAATACAGAGATGTTGTTGTTGTTTAAGATTCACTACCTGGAACAAAAAGTTCTAAGTAGCACGGGCTATGGTGAGCCCGTAGTGGACTACAGACAGAGGAGAGTAGAGAGGCAGGTTATATACACCGACCCTGATCTCAGTGAAGGGGGGTGGCATTAAAACTCCAAGATAATAAATATCAGGTCGTTTGTCTGCGAGTATTATGTGGAGCATCAAGCAACAGTTCACACACACACGGGATCACACATCACTCACCCGTGTACTTCTCACCTGTTTTTGTCATTGATAAAATTGATGGTAATGCAGGTATGGTATTCCTAAACTGATACTTAAACTGCATCGAGTATTATTATTATTTTTTTTATCCAGCAAATATTTAGTAATGTTTATTTTAGAAGACTTGACTTACACAGAGTAATTTGTTAAGATTTAAATCCTTCAATGGGTTGGTGTGAATTTCTTCAGACGTTTGCTGATGAGATATTTATGCACCTTCTTGGTCTCAACTAATGTGTCGCGTGTGTTACAGAGGGTTGTGTTGATGTCCGTAAGAATTAATAAGATGCTATTTAAAGAAATGAATACATTTTAATATAATTTCATAACTTTATCGGTTAATTGCCCCTCCCCATTGGTGGACAGTAGAGTTGAATTTATCACGTTGACGACGCGGGCATTGTTATCTAGCGTTCACTTGCGCTGGCGACCACTTCTGCCAGCGAGCGACTCCATTCCCGCCACTGTACCTGCATCTCGCCCCCCCACCCATCCCCCAGTAACCCCAGCCCTCGCCCAAGATCATCTCCGGAGTGTTCCTACACCCACCCATCCACCTCAACCCTGATCCCTTTTATTCTCGCTAGCCACGAACCTCCCACTTCTCACACCACTTCACCACTATCCCTCGCTCGTCGCAACATGACAATCTTTCACACCTACGATCTATCTATCCCTCAACATGGGCTTCTCTATCCCCCCTCATCCCGCTGCCCCCACCCACCACCCTTACCCATGATGGGTGTGTGAGAGCGTGAGGGGCGCTGGCTGGCGGTGGAGTCAGTTGTCGCCCGGACGTCGTAGAGGTAGCATCACGCTCTCGTGTCTCTGCGTCCCGGGGGTGTCGGCCAGTGCTTCTCACCTGTGTGTCTCGCGTGCGCCCTTGCATGGGGCTTGCAAGAAAAGAAAAGCAATTTCAGAAAAGAAACTTTAATGAACCTAAGTTGTAGTAATATATTTCGTGTGAACTGGTCCTGTACCGTTGTGTAGATGGAATATTTCAACAAGGTAATAAGGCTGTTCTGTGATATTTTTGTATTTGTCCTTAAAAGTGTGCATTGAACGGTTTTTTTTTTGTTGAGTTGATGTGTTTTATACTTTTTATGGCAGCTGGGTAAGTACGTGATTGACATTTGTGGATTTTAGTAATAGTGTTTTAGCAGCGAATAATGCCGTCGGTGGGTTACCAATGTTTAATAGAGAATCACAAATATATCTTAGGTCGTGTGAGAACATGTAGGTCTAGGCCAAATAATTATGTTTTTCATATAATACAACTGTGTTATCTTCTTTGATTCAACTGACGTAATTTTAGCGTGGTTTTTTAGTTTTGTAATTCAAGTTTTTTATAATTTAATAAGAAACTTAATTGAAAGTGTGGGTGTGTTTATATATATATATATATATATATATATATATATATATATATATATATATATATATATATATATATATATATATATATATATATATGTCGTACCTAGTAGCCAGAACGCACTTCTCAGCCTACTATGCAAGGCCCGATTTGCCTAATAAGCCAAGTTTTCATGAATTAATGTTTATTCGATTACCTAACCTACCTAACCTAACCTAACTTTTTCGGCTACCTAACCTAACCTAACCTATAAAGATAGGTTAGGTTAGGTAGGGTTGGTTAGGTTCGGTCATATATCTACGTTAATTTTAACTCCAAAAAAAAAAAAACTGACCTCATACATAATGAAATAGGTAGCTTTATCATTTGAAAAGAAAAAAATTAGAGAAAATATATTAATTCAGGAAAACTTGGCTTATTAGGTAAATCGGGCCTTGCATAGTAGGCTGAGAAGTGCGTTCTGGCTACTAGGTACGACATATATATATATATATATATATATATATATATATATATATATATATATATATATATATATATATATATATGTATATATATATAGCTATATATATATATATATGAATGAATGAGTGTCAGTCCACTAAGGAAGAGTTGAAACGGGAATTTCCTTGAGTACTTTTGTATTTAATCATACATCTTCAGAAGGATCCTTCAGAAGATGTATTAATAAATACGGAAGTACTTAAGAAAATTCCTGTTTCGATTCTTCCTTCGTGGTCTGACACACATTTTTCATTGTGTTAATTTTTGTGATTTACACACACACACACACACACACACATATATACATGTATTAAAGAGCCACAGAGATATTAGAAAGAACTTTTTTAGTGTCAGAGTGGTTGACAAATGGAATGCATTAGGGGGTGATGTGGTGGAGGCTCACTCCATACACAGTTTCAAGTGTAGATATGACAGAGCCCGATAGGCTCAGGAATCTGTACACCTGTTGATTGACGGTTGAGAGGCGGGACCAAAGAGCCAGAGCTCAACCCCCGCAAACACACTAGGTGAGTACAACTAGGTGAGTATATATGTAATGAGTTGTTCAACACAAAAACACTGGGTTGTGAAAAAGCGGGTTGACCCGATCCGACCCGACTCGAGACGCGGGTACAGTGACCTGGCTGCACACAGTCGTAAGGTCTTGGGTCAGAAGCATCACCACACAATACCACTTTGGTATAGCATTTGGTGTGCAAGGCACGGAGCCCTTCTCGCTAGAATGACGAGTTTTGTTAAAAGGTGTGACTGGGAGATATCATGCTATACACTGTCTGTTCTTTCATTGTATCCAGTCTTTCCGGTTTAGTGCCTTCTTTTGGTAATTACATGATTTTTATAGTTTTTTTTTTAAGAACACTTCCTCGTGGTTTTAGATAATTTATTTGTGGTTTAAGATCATTTGTTCTTGGTTTTAGATCATTTGTTCGTGGTTTTAGGTAATTTGTTCGTGGTTTTAAATAATTTATTCGTGGTGTTAGATAATTTGTTCGGGGTTTTAGATAATTTATTCTTGGTTTTAGATAATTTGTGCATAGTTTTATGTAATTCGATCTTTTTTTTTTAACAACCTAACTTTTCTGGACCCGGCAGATAGAAAATTAGCAATAACATTTTATATCTAACAATATAGTTAGCAATAAAAGTTAGCTTGCAATGACAACGGCAGAAACTCACGTAGCCAGAACAACTAGAGCAGTGCCGGACGTCTACAGTCATTAGAAGTGAAGCAGTTGGTGCTTGGGCACATGCCTAGTTGACCTAGACAACTGCTCGATAACCAGGTTTTTCTGTTAGATAACTGTTAGATAACCAGGATAAACTCGCCCCTCGGGGCAAAATTTAAACAAACTTAACCAGGTTTTTTTTTTGCGACCTCACAATTAGCATGAAGAGAAATGTAAAATGTTAAATTTCTCTGATATGATTTTTTGTTTGTAAATATATTTCAATTTGTAATATGACTTGGCTTATATGGTCTTTAATTAACCATGTCTTAAGACGGCATTTTAATTAGTATTTCGACTTGGTGTACCGTTTTTCAGATCCATGCTACGGGTATATATAAAGAGGTTGTTTTAGCTACTCTGAACAAAATTTCCATGTAGCAGGGGGCTATAGTGAGCCCGTAAGTATGTTGTTGTATTAAAGATTTAGCTGCTCAGAACGAAGTGTTCATGTAGCACGGGCTATGGTGAGCCCATAAAAGTACCCGTAATTATATAAAGAAACTTTAATGTATTTGTAGGCCTGGTTCGGGAGGTGGGGTGAGTGAGGGGTGGGGGGTGCCTGTTGGGCCGTCTCGTTTAAGTCCCCAGGAGCCGGCGCCACCTGGCGGCCTCCGTCGCCGCCGCCTCCACCGCTCCCGCACCTCACACTAAACAGATTCTGGACTATGTCGCTTACATTATATTGTATCATTGGAATTGAAAACACGGGACATATTCGCTCTTCCTGACCAATGAATATCGTCGTCGATAGCGCTGGTTTGTACGCTATGAGACGGCAGAATTGCGCAAATAAAGACGTCAACTGGCGGGAACAGGCTGCGCACGCCACACTTTTTGTCATTTCCAGGGGCCAGATTCACGAAGCAGTTACGCAAGCCCCTTACGAACCTGTATATCTTTTCTCAATCTTTGGCGGCTTTGTTTACAATTATTAAACAGTTAATGAGCTCCAAAGCACCAGGAGGTTCTTTATAACAATAACAACAGTTGATTGGGAAGTTTTCATGTCTGTAAACTGTTTAATAAATGTAACCAAACTCGTCAAAGATTGAGGAAAGATGTACACGTTTGTAAGTACTTGCGAAACTGCTTCGTGAATCTGGCCCCCCTGGTTCCTGAGTAACGTTCATTCTAATGCAGCCATTGAATTCATTACATTGCCACAAGTTTCAGACGACTCTCGTAGCAGCAGTAGTAATACTAGGTGGAACATAGGGCCGTGTTTGAAGCCTGTGAATAATTAAATACTACTTTGAAGGTTCTTGACCTCTTATTACTAATTAATCGGCTGGTAATTGTGGTTCCCGAAGACAGTAATTGTGAGAGGTATTACTGCACCCCTTTTGCGAGGTGTATACTCCTGGGAGACTTCGATTGATGGCAGTGATTTAGTGGAGTGCGTAGTGGTGTGTGGATTGTGAAAGCGTCGTGGTGGATGGTGTTCTCAGCTTGGGGTCGTGATACCTGGGATTTACCACACCGGGAGCCGCCAACCGCAACCTTGAAGTAAACTGACCATAACCATGTAGTAAACTTACCTCTTACCTCAACCTTATAGTAAACTTACCTTGGGTCCCTCTAACTAATTTCACCATATGAACGGGTGCTAAACAAAATTCATGTTGGTTATATGCAATGAACATGCACAATATAATGAGCTTCACTTTGGCCTTTCTGTGCCTAAATATTGTTTTTGTTTCCTCTCGTGATGTGAACAAAATGAGATGAATATATTGGATTACCTTGAGGACCCCCACAGTGTTTTTGGAAAGGAAACGTACTTGGTGCTCGGCACATGGCACTCTATACAGATTTCCTACGCGATTTGAACACTAAACCAGGGGTGGTGGAGTACTTGTGTTTGAGTAGTACGGTAAGGGGCATGCCTTCTTCAGTAGCCAGCTCGTGTTGTGTTGACGTTTCACATGGAAGGAAGCGAAAAGCGAGACTTCTGCTGTGCCTTGCCACACTATTCTTAGGTCTAACTCCTGTACGTTTTGTGTTCTGTCATTATAAAGTACTAATTGCTCCTGTCTAACAAATATTTTAAAGGAACCACAAATTAGCCCTCCCAAAAAAATAAAAAATATTACACAGCCTAAAAAAATCGTAATTGTTGGTAAATAATTTACTGGGTTAGGCTACGTAAAATCAATATATATAAGTCGTTTGATGTAGAATTTAGGCGATGTGGAGGAGGAGAGCGGGTATGTGATCCGGGTATTTGCTTCCGTTGGTACCTCTCTCTCTCTCTCTCACCCTCCGCTGTCGTCAGCTGTCACGCACTTGTAACAATAATCTCCCCTGGTTTGGTTCCCTGACGCTTGGCAAATGTAATTATCGCCGCTGAGGGGAGAGTGTGTGGACATTTAACAAGTGATGAGGGAGTTTTCTCAGCGAGTGCTGCCATTCATTACCCGAGAGCACGGGTAAACAACCCGTATCAATATGGCGTGAATGGTACTTTATGTGGGTAATGTGTTTTGCATTTTTATTCGCGTTAAAACAGGAAGACCGACAAGGCGTGACAAACCAACAGTTGACTGTTATATCGGAACGGTGACGACTGTTTCTTAGGTTATGTAAAGGGAGATGCTATGTAGCTTTTTGCTAGGCTATGTTTGAGTTCCTGGGATGTGTAATTTATTCATGTTGTGATTACGTTCAATACACATAGGCCTAAGTTTGCTGACACAGGCTCTTCCTGATGGTCACTTACTATAAGCCTATTTGGTTTCTATATCAATTATTCTTAGTCTGTTTTGGCCTAATTTTTATATAATTTGCCCCCCCCCCTGCACTGTATTGTATCCATTGTTTACTTACGTTTGGCCTTATAAGTTGTTCCTGTATGGCATTATAAGTTGCTCCTGTGTGGT